AAGTTTCCATTTGGTAAGTGGGGCGTTGTTATCGTGTATGACAACCACATCGTCCTTCTGCAGATTTGGCGTTGAGCGGAACCATTTTGTTCTTTGCTGAAGGTTTAAAAGATGTGATGAGTATCCAGCCAGCGCTTCCAGAAGTGTTGTCTTATTGACGTGATGAGTTGCCATCGTTGGAAAAGAGAACCCTTGAACATTTCCACATCGGGAGAACGTGGAGCGTCTTCAATGGTTCGCCAACTAAAAAATGACCGGGAGTCAAGACTTCCAAATCGCTAATATTTGTGGATATCCAGCAGATAGGAGGAGAGTTCACACAAGCCTCGACCTCAGTTAGCACAGTTGCAAATTCTTCATACGCCAGGAGTGTCGAATTCTGCGCACGCTTTAAGTGACGCGCTTTAGGCCAACCTTCCAATAACCGCCCACGTGAGGTGCGCTTGGTGGATTAAAGTGCCAAGTGGTATGCGTATCAGTCAAATACGAAGACAGCTTAAGGCTCTGTTATGCATACTTGGCATTGCTTGAGAGTTGTCACATAAGGAATCTGTTAAATGAGCTTCGCGTGTAAGCTGTTACCCAACGCACAGCATTACATACGTAGAAGTCTGTTGGTTTTTTATTTCCACGTAAAAATGGTATAGCAGTGCAAGAACTGCCAAGTATGCATAACAGAGCCTTTATCGTCACTGATGCAGCGTTCGTATGCGATACGTAATTCCCTTTCAGCGCCAACGAAATTCGTTCCGTTGTCAGAGTAGATATGCTTACAGTAGCCCCGTCGGTTGGTGAAACGTTCCAGGTGCATTGCGCCTGTGCTCATACATATAAACGAACAAATGTATGCCTTCGTTAGGGTTGCCAGATTCTGAAACAGAGAAAGGAGTACATTTCTATTTTCGATAGAAAAAAAGCAGTACAGAACTTAAAAAAGTAGGAGAATTTTTGTTTTAATTTTTTTGTGCAATTAATTGTTACAAATTACCATTATTTAGGTAAAACCAAACACGGATATCATAGAAATCTTTTTCAAAGCAACAATAAATGTTAAAAATAAATAACTAAATTCTACAAAAGAATTCCAGGCTATTCCTGAATGTATGGCAATTTTTTATACCCGAGCGCACTTGTGCACAAGGGTATTATAACTTTGTTCACATAACGGTTGTTTGTAACAGGCAAAACGAATCGAGATAGATATATACATATGTATACATAAATGATCAGGATGAAAAGAGAAATCGATTAAGCGCTGACTGTCTGTCCGTCCGTCTGTGCACACGATAACTCGAGTAAAAATTGAGATATCTTAACGAAACTTGGTATATGCACTTCTTTCGGGCGTAGGACGGATGGTATTGAAAATGGGCAAAATCGGACAATAACCACGCCTACCTCCCATATAACGGTAATTTTCAGAAATACGAAAACTGCGATATTTTAGTAACTACTCAAGATTATTCACTCAAAATTGATATTTATAATAACTTTTAGACGAAAAATAAGAATATTAAAAATTTTTGGAAAATGGGCGTAGCCACGCCCACTTATGGTTACATGTGCATATCTTGGTAACCGCTGCACCGATTTCTTCCAAATTTGGCACAGTTGTTAACCTTGGTATAACATACGAAATGGCCGAAAATTTTTAAAATCGGACAATAACCACGCCCACATCCCATATAACGGTAATTTAGAGAAATACGAAATCTTCGATAAATCAGTAAATATTAAAGCTAATTTATTCAAAATTGATGCTTGCAACAATTCTCTACCAAGAAATACGCTTAAGAGAAAATTTTGAAAAATGGGCGTGGCACCGCCCACTTATGATCACATATATGTATCTCGGTAACCGTTCTAGCAATTTGTACCAAACTCGGTGTGGTTATTGTGCTTGCCACATAGAAGCAAAACGTTGAAAATTATTGAAATCGAACTAAAATTACGGCCCCTTTCCATGTAACAGTAAATTTCAGATATGCTTGAAACTTCAATATTTCGAAATTTAAGGACAATAATTTACTCAAAATGGATACACCCCGGTTTACCATGTAGCGGTAGCTTTCGGAAAGGTGAAAAACATATATTTAATACTTGCGCCGGGTATTTAATGTTCGGCTCCGCCCGAACTTAGGCTTTCTTACTTGTTTTATTTTATAATTTTTCTGATTTTTATACCCGAGCGCCCTGCACTTACCTGCCTACGACCATGCTTACACCTTTTCACTATCACACTTAACTTTACTTACTAAGTAGTGTTTGCCACAATATGAATGGCAAAGTACAGGGCGTAAAATAATAACTGTCGCAAAGGTTTTTCGAAAAATAAAAGAGTCCTTTAAAGATTAGTATTTTTTGCTAACTTTATAAATAGTTTGCTTTAATTTTATTAATTAGTTTTAAAACTTTAATCCTTATTTCCATTTGCCAGCTTTGGGAGATAAGTACATGCATTTTTCGAGTGTATTTTTTTTAGATTTTGTATAAAAACAAAAAGAAAACTGTATAGGTATAGGGTTCGTCGAATGAATGGCCTCCTAGTCACCAGTTCCGAGTCTTTTCGATTGCTGAGTATGAGGCCTTATGTTGGACAAAAGACGGAGTATAAAAGACGGAGTATAATGGAGGAAATTAGCCTATGGTTACAGAAGATATCGTCACTACACACGAATAAAGGCGCGCTAGTGTTTTGACGGCGAAAAAAGCCGCGTAAAAAAATTTTGCGAAAAAAGATGCTTATGAAAAACTTCGGCGAAGTATGTTAAGAGTCTTTGACGCTGAAGTTTTTTTATGGGTGTTTTTTCGCCGTCATTTTTTGAGCTCGCGCCTTTATTCGTGTCTAGTGACGATATGTAATAAAGTAACCGACGAAGACTTGCGTGCCGCTTGAGCTTTTCTCTCAAAGTGTTTACCGCTGGTAAACGCAAATGAAGGTTAACATTTAAAAATTTATTAATAAAATTTAAGTAAAATCTGTGGATAATTAACAATAAACTACTTTTTTCGCAAAATCTATAAAGTTCCCTTTTATTTTTCAACAACACCTGTGCAACAGTTATTATTTTACGCCCTGTATATGATAAAATATTAATAGCTGGAAAAAGGAGTACAAAAGAAGTACAAAACTAAGAAAGGCGTTCATTTCCAGATATTTTTTTTTGGGAGTACAAGGGAGTACATTACAATAAAAAGGTGTACGTTTACTCCCAAAAGCAGTACGTCTGGCAACCCTAGCCTTCGTTGACTTCGCACCTCTTCCGTGGGAGAATTTCAAAGCATAAGGCCCAGCAAAATCGACAGCACTATGGAGAAAACACCGTGTACAAGTTACACGACTGAGCGGAAGTTGGGACATGAGCTGTTGCAGTGGCTTGTTGTTGAGATGTTTGCAGCGAACACATTTGCGATATATACCTCGAACGAGGCTTCGAATACCGTAGACCCAGAATCGACATTGAAGCGTAACCTGCATTATTTGAGGCCCAGCATGTAGCGTTGTGATATGCGCTTTGGCGGCGATTATCCTTGCCAACGAAGACCCCTTTGGCAGTATTATTGGATGCTTCGCATCGTTGGAAAGCGTAGAGTTTTCGATGCGACCTCCTCCACGTAGGACGCCTTTTGCATCCAGAAACGGCTGCAAACGTATGCGACTGCTCCGAACGGGTACCAGCTTCCTTGATCTGCAATTGGAAACTTCTGCCCGAAGGCGTTAGATTGAAACGACTTTACCAAAATGGTTAAAGCGAAGCGGATTACTTAAGCGGTTACTCGCTTGAGTATGTTGAACGAGTGGTCTCTGGTCAAAAGATCCTATTCGCCACTGGTCTGCGTTGGATGCGACACCTTGTTCGACTTCAGTTCGAGGTTGGTGTTGAGCTGTATTGAGATATTAAGCCAAGGTTCGCTGTGAGCTCGCAGCCAAGGCGGCCTATGCCACCATAGAGGATGCGCGAACAATTGAGAAGGCGTGCTGCCCCTCGACGCGCAATCAGCAGGATTATGTTCGGACGGGACATGTCTCCAGTGATTTGCCGGCAACACTTCCTGTACGTCCGCAACGCGATTTGCGACGAAGACGGACTAGCGGCTTGGAGTACCTTGTAACCACGCTAATGTAACTGCGGAGTCTGTCCACGCGTACAGCTTACCGAGTTTACAGGCGAGGCTAGATTGAACTTGCCGTACCAGCCTTGCGCCTAGATGAGCAGCGCATAACTCTAAACGCGGCAACGAAATGACCTTCACTGGCGCTACTTTGGTTTAGGCGGCAACTAATACAACCTCTATCTCACCGTTTGCGTTTTGCGTCCGGCAATAAAGCGCAGCCGCATAAGCAGCTTCCGAAGCGTCCATAAAGTTATGGAATTCCATGTTGACCACCGAGCCCGTGCCCAGCCAACGTTCAGCCTAAGCGATGCAAGTTTAGGTAACTCACTACGATGCGCCAACCAATCTTCTGCTACATTCAGTGGTACTAACTCGCCCCAATCTACATTTGAACGCCATACCCTTTGTAACCAAATTTTAGCGCGAATTGTGCAGGGCGTGGCTAATCCAAGCGGGTCGAATATCTTCCTTGAGTCGGATAGAAACACGCGTTTTGTGATATTGTCAGGCAATTCTTGTAGTTTTGCAGCAATAGAAAGCAAATCTTTATCGGTGTGCTAAACGGACCCCAGAGTGCGGATTTTATTTCCTTCAGCTAAAATATCATCCATGTAGAAATCCCTTACACGTACTATACGTTGATAGTCAGCGTCTTGTTTTGCTACGTAAACCTGGCGGTACATCTTCTCGATGTCCGCGATCAGCCCATAGCGATGCGTGTGGAAACGAACTAGTATGGAGAATAGGTGTTGTTGTAGCTGCGGCCCTACCATCAGAGAATCGTTGAGCGAGTTTCCGAATGACGTCTTCATGGACGCGTTGAACACTACTCTGAGCTTGGTCGTGGCACTTGAATGTTTTACCACGACATGGTGCGGCATGTACTACGTGTCGTCTGTAACGGCACCAGCTAGCTCCATTTGGCCTAAGTCAACAAGTTCTTCCATGAACTTACAATATTCTTGATAGAGGTGTTTGTCAGCAGCATACCTCTTCTCCATTCGGAGTAATGCTCGCACCGCAGTACTTCTAGATTCACCTATCGGTACGGATTTCTTCAGTGGTAAGCGCACGATATATCGACCATCGTTAGCTCGCTTGGTAGTGTCGTCGAAATGTTGTTCACAGGTGAGTTCTTCGGGAGTGTAATACTTTCTCGGACGTAACTCTTCGAGTTCCCAGAACTTGTTCACCAGCGCGGTTAGTTGCATGTCACAGTGTAAGGTGGTTATAGATTTGGGCTGTCTTTGTAAATTGGTCGCGTTCCCGCGCAATACCCAAACGAACACAGTGTTTTGCGGCATTGGAGTGCCATGTTGACCCTCCCTTAACCCATTTAGTACCATTTCGTTCATTTCGTCCATGCCTATAAGGATATCAACTGGTCCAGGTTTAGCGAAACTTGGGTCAGCCAGCGATAAATCGAGAACATGCGGCCACGGTGGTGTCGGTACAGCGGTGGATGGAAGATCATTAATTTTGGGTAACACGAATGTACTCACTTGGAAGTTTGCGTCTAATGATCGCGGTGATTTGCGTAGGGTTACTTCTCCCTTGGTACGGCCACCTTGGGTAGCCCCTCTACCTGTGACGTAAGCGGATGAAGATCGTCTGGGAAGGCGAAGTCGTTGTGCGCAGGCCTCAGTTATGAATGAGGCGTGCGAGCCGTTATCGAGAAGAGCACGAGCTGGTTGCCAACGACCAGCGTCGACTTGTACTAAGACTGAGGGGGTTGCCAACAAAGCGATCAGCAACCAACAGAACGATCAGCATCAGCGTAATGTGACGTGACACTAACGTGCTGGCTTGTTGCGTTTGTAGCGGTTGATTCCTGTTGGTTGTTGAAACTTTTGCACGCGTGTGATGGCGTTGCCGACAGATGCGGCACAATGATGAACTGCGACATTTTGCAAGAATGTGCTCTTTGCTAAGACAGTTTAGGCAAGCACCTTGAGATTTGATGGCACAAAGTTTAGTATTTGCGTCGAGTCGGCTAAACTTTGAGCAAACGTATATTTTGTGGTCACCGCTGCAATAAGCGCAACCAGACGCCTTGCCAACGTCACATGCTTCGACTTGGCTACATGTTGTGTGTAGGACATTCTTCGTAACTACCTTTGTGTTGGCAAGCGCAAGCGGTAGCATCTCCAAAGAGCGTGCACGAGTTTCTAGAAATTCACGAAGAGCGGTAAACGATGGTAACTCGTCAGCCACAAGCAAAAATTCCCATTGTGTGCGGGTTTCGTATGACAATTTGGATACAGTTAGGTTGATAAGCCAGTCATCCCAGGTCTCGGTTGGTCGACCAAGCGCGTAGCGCACCGACATGCTGTAATGTAGCATTAAGCACGAGCTTGATTGCCTTAGCGCAGTCTTTACTCGCTTTTTCGATAGATGACAGAGCCCGTATGTGACTGTCCACCATGACTCGTATGACCTTGCATCTTGAGGTCAACAAGTCCCATGCCTCGCGATAATTACTGTCACACACTGACAAACTACTCACCAAATTAAGTACTTCACCTTTCAAACAGTTACACAAATACTGCAGTTTTTGCCCGTCCGACAAGGTTGCGTTCGCGTTAACCAGCGAACAAAATGAATCGTGGAAGGACAACCATTCCGTAGGACCACCACAAAACGAGGGCAACTGCAGCTTTGGCAGCGACGTGGATGCATGTGCAACCGGAATAGAATTATGTGGTGGTGGTTGTGTGTGCGATGACAGAAGACGTTTAAAGTTGGCCTTTGCAGTTATATACCACTCCTCGCACTGTATGCGCGATTGTTCTTCCATAGGAGTGTTCTCGTCGCCACATGCCAGCTCCACTTCTTGTTGAGCTTCGCAAAAACGAACCCACTGCTCTTCCAATAATTGTAGGTGCGTGGAGAGCACTTCGACGTCCTCCGAAAGCACATCTGCTTTACTCGACTGCAAATGTCGCTGAATGGAGTTTAAAGCGGAACCGCGAATTTTGAGCGAAGACATTTTGCATGTAAGTGCAATGCGAATGTATGTAATTATAAATTTACAGAAATAGCGTAAATCATGCGGTTTGCAATAAAAGTAACACGACTTCGAGGTCCGGCTCGAAGGACCAGAATGTTAGTGATCAAAAGCGGTCGAAACTCGATAATAATTTTGCGGATTAACCCAGATGAAAAATATACACGTTTTATGTTGATAAAGGCGATTTAATGGGTGCTGAAACGGAAGCTTGGTTTGACAGCTTACAATTCAGTGCTACCAAACTAGCAAAAGCTTACAAACTATGATAAGTACTGCCTAACCACCAGGTTCTTACAATAGGGTTGCTAGTTTGGCGCGAACAAATAGTTTGGGATGAGCCTGCCCTAAAAACTATTTTCTATGCATGTATATTTCTATTTCATGTATGGAATTTTCATGAATGAAATTTTCATTTCATGAATTCAAAAAAATGGTCCCGTGTATGCATTTGAATAATTGGCAACACACTGGCGAGGAACTAAACGTTGGGTGTGACTTCTTTGGTCTCCTTTTGAATTTGCAAAAGCGGTTCGTCCATGGTGGAATAACAACAAGGTGTTGTCAGAAGCGACGTGTTTGTTGTAATTTTGACAACGTCGGAATGCTTATTTTCAGTGTTGCCGATCTTAGTTTTTATAATATTATTAGTTGGGAAATAGTATCTAAAATACTCCATTTTAGTATTTCGTTTTATAGCGATTTTTAAAGAACTTGGTGTTTCAGAAAGATATTAATATTTAAAATTGCTGGATTTGTATAATTTTTATCTTCAAAATATAAAATATAAAAGATATCGTGGTTATCAATGGAAAAAGACGTACACAAAAATCGTATGGGAAGGCGATTTTTTTATATTAGATATCTTTTGCTGCATTGTCATAATATCGAGCCAAATGGACTAGTGATACACTAGAATAGAGCGGCTGCATGGTTAAATTACGATTTCGCTTATATTATCGATATTTATGTGTTTTAATTTATTTAAAAAATCATTTACAGTCTTATGGGCTGTTTTTGCTTACGCGTAAAAGCACATTTAGCGCATTTAGCTCTAAATGCTACTCTAAATGTACATTTATCCATACAAAATTCGTCACCTAAATGCAACTCCATTTTTGCATTTAGAATCTAAATGCTAAAAGCAACCCTGTGATCTTCCAAAATTTCCACGATTCGAACATGGTTTAATGAGAAGAAGTGGCAACATTGCTTTTTCGAGTATACAGTCGCTAGCTGCGTTTCAGTGATCGCCGATCGAGATTTCATTTATTATTTCACATTATTTGGATAAAGAAAAGTTACGCAAATTAAACATCGATATGATGCTGATAGAAATCTGGATTAATTTGTGATCAACTCTGTTTGTTTTGTTTCCTAATTAAGTGTGAAAATTATAATTGACAGCACCGACAAATGAATATATATGAATATATACACAAACAAATGTTTGGTTTTGGTTAAAATAATTCAAGCTTTTGTATTGAATTTTCGGTTTAGAATTTATTTTTTCCTTTTCAGTAGGGATTTTTGGACATTATCTTTTCCGTGAGAATTTATCGTAATAGATACGGATCTGAATAAGCGACTGGAACACGGCTGTTTGTCAAAAGCATACGATTTCGAACTCGCGTAAATGTACATTTGCTAAATGCGATAGCATGAACGCTCTTCGAAAACATATGTTCGAAAGTGCTAAATGTTGCATTTTAAATGCAGCAAAAACGCTGCATTATAGGAAATTGCCTTATTTCCCCTGCCTTTACTTTTTTATAAGTTACAATATATGTCCAACCTGTGTGGAGCTGTCGATACAAACATATATTCAGGCTTATAAGCCTATAATTAAACATTTTTCTACATTTAGGGCCGTTTACTCAATATGTGGTTAACACTAATCTCCGTCTAAACATCATTATCGACGTGTTCGGTTCCATGCATATAACATGGAGTCGGTAACGTCGATAATGATGTTTTACCGGAGGTTAGTGTTAACCAGACATTGAGTAACCGGCCCTTAATTTGAAATAGTATGCACAAACGGATTAAAAGTAGTAAATAATTAATACCTTTTCTACTACCTAAAAATGCGTGACCGGAATAGACCTGCCGAAAAGGTGAGGCTAAGTTACTGACAACACCTTGTTATTATTACACCAAGGGTTCGTCATGAACGGCTTACTGCCGTCCGTAAATTGGAGCGCTAAGCGTTGCGTTTTCCAATGCCAACGGGTGCCAGCGCGCGCCACACTCAAATCAACGCGGCGTAATTTTTGACGTTTTCTCATTTCCTCTCATTTTTATTCCCGTTTCCTCTTTCCCTTTCTTCTCCTTTCTGTTTCTTCCCGTCTTATGCATCCAACTTCAAGACATAACGTCCTGTCAAAAGTGAAAATTCCATTTGTTTGGCGCTAGCGCCGCCCTATTGTGGGATGCTTCATACAAATTGTATGGGCATGAGGATTTTTGACAGCTCCTTGGCGCTTGGCGCGCCAATTTAGGGATGGCAGTTAGGGTTGTAAATCACAATAGTTGCGTTCGCGTAGCTGTTAATTGTTCATGTTTAATGGCCCGTATGCAGCTCTCAAGAAACGGTGTGTGTGTCCAAGGAATTTTGACGTTTTTGATACTTCACAGCCTGTTGCCTCACTCTTTCCTCAATATATAATGGAACGGGCACATATTTCTGTTGCAAATGTGGGTTGCCTTGTGCTCTTTTTTCACAAAGAACTTTAGAAAACCGTAGTAGAAAGCGTAGCAAATTTCTTAAGAACTGCGTACTGCCTTAAGGAAATTTGACTCAAGAAAATTTCTTAGCCATTTCTTGTACGTCGTTTTATATGGAGTTTTTGCTTTTCTTGAGAGCTGCTTACAGGCCTTAGCCAGAGAACGTAAAGTATAGAGAAGGACCGAAAACTGTGAATGCCACATTTTTCGAGCCAACTGAACAAGCGAAGCGCATTTTAAGAGCGACAAATATTTGGAATACTTAACAGCGAAAGCAAAATACAAAGCAGAAAAGAAGAATGTTAACAGAGCTAAATCCCACGATTACTTGTACATTTTGTATGGAGAATGATAATAATTAATTTAAAATTCTGCATGCAACCATGTTCTCGACGATACATGCAACTTTCATGAAGATTAAACATAAAAAGCGTTGTAAAATAGTAAGGGTATACGTCAAACCTTATAAATTCATTGTAAACCGTATAAACTTATAATTGTGTAAACCTTATAAATGAACTGTCAAAATTTGTATGGAAACTCGTTTACACATTTCTGATAAATTCCCCAGCGATTTCACTGAATAAACTTGATAAACTGAAGCCAATGCAACTCAGTCGCAACTCTAGCTATGTTTTCTTGGGCAATAATCGGGATCCACATAAAACTTTTGCACGCAAATTCACACACAACGATGTGACCCTAATAGAGATCTGGTTCAATTATTATCCGTTCTGTTTGTTTTGCTTCACTGATAATTTAACTGCAAAGTTTGGTAGCCGTGTCAAATGAATTCATACACAAACAGACATTCTGCCATTGTTTCTTTTAACTAGCTTCAAATAAATAGCCTTTATCTTATATGTATATTTATTCAAATAGATATTATCTCGGAAATATAATTTTCGGTTTGGTTTCTATAATTTCTTTGTCCTCGCGCTGGTAGTATTAAGTTAGTGATACTGTGCTCTATAACAAAAAAAAAAAACACGACTATTGTCGCATGTGTAAACGAAAAGAGGGTGTGGGTCGTTCATGTAAAGCCTGATATACAGTTCAATGCGAGCGTGAGCGTGAACGTACGCAAAGGCAAATAATTCCATTTGTATTCTTATGGACGCTCACACACATCTGCCAAAACTTGCCGTTCACATGCGAATGCTTTGCGTACGCATACAGTTGAGTGTCAGTTCGAAAAAGGCATATTATGCATTTTAAATTAGTTTTTATTCTATAATTCTGAAAGATATTTTAATTCACTATCTTTTCATGTCTCAACTATAGCAAAAAGTTGAGTAATAACTAAGATATTGACCAATATAAAAAGCTCACGCTCACGCTGGCATTGAACTGTATATCATTCTTAATAGGCCCGTCAGAATAGGTACTTGTACGTCAATAACGGAAAAGTATGCGAAGGAAGTGGCGTACGTACCGTAGAGATACGCCACAATGAAGGTTTGCGTCTGCAAACAAAAATCAGCTATTTCCTATGCCCACGTACTTGGGGTTTACACAAGTCAATTTTTCATATACAATAGCAAAACATTCATATTTTTTTACTAACATATTCCCACTTCTCTTGATGTCTTCATCACTGTCTCTGGCTTTTCGAAGACAGTTTATTGTCTGGATGCCTACTTTACTCAAACAATGTGTAAATTATGTGCATATTCTCATTGGTCTTGTCTTGTGTAAACGCGGGGTTATACAACTATCAGCAGTGACGGACTTACGTGCGTCAAAAGTTGAGTGTTGGCCAACGTTCGTTGGGTCCATCAACGCAAGGGTTGCCAATCTGACGCCCTCTATGCAAACACACAGAGTCTACTCAACTGTCAGTTTCATCCTTGAGCGCAACGTACGCAAAGTACCCATCCTGACGGGCCTATAACAGAGTGCGTAAACTTATAAGATCATGATCTAACTACACAAGATCTGACAAAATGAAGCAAAAGAAAAAAGTAATTTTCAGGCTGACGTTTGTAATTTCGGCGCCATGTTATTTTCTTTGAAAAGTAAACAAAGAATATGAAGACGAAGCATAAAGAAAAAAATGAAAGCAATTTTGTAGCTCATGTTTGTGCTAACCAATTATTGTTTTTGTATGTGTTTTTGCAACCAATCACCGCGCACTTCATTTTAATTACATTTTCACAAAAAAAAATTTATTGAAAATCACTGAAATAAACCACCGGCAAAATACACATAAAGAAAGAAGCAAAACAGAAATAGGAAACTTCAAAATTACGAAC